CAAAAATTACACTTAAATATTTACATTTATCTATAATTTTGTATATAAATAAACTGTAAGAAAGAAGGGTCAATGTAATTAGTTATGAATGAAAATTATAATATCTGTATTTCTCACCAGTTGCCTTACAGCAGTAATTAAATATATGCATAAAAACTTGGATTTTCACATTCAGCTGGACAGTTTCCCACACTTCAGCACTCAGTCCAGTGCAGTGCTGAGTGCTTGGTCACCTACTAAACACCACTACAATTGCTGAAGCACCCAGCAATTTGCAGATCAGATGAAAGATACATTAGGCTGGAAGGTAAAATTCTGGCTTCAGAAAAGGCAAGGGAAAGTAAAAGTTAATGGAATACCTGTTTTGTTTTATCATCACTTCAACAGGGTTTTCTTTTCAACCAAGAAACCCAGAATTCAGTTCCACATGGCTTATTAAGTCTGATATTCTACAAACATGGATTCATGAGCTGTGCCTACACAAATTTATTTTCAACAAAGATCATTCTATGACCTTTCTTCTTCCTGAAACTAAATTACAGTGAGCTCATTAGATTATGGAGATTAGTAACCTGTAGGCAAAAATAGAAGCAGAAACAGGCAGTAATATCCAAATGACTTCAGTAAAGAGGAGCATGAATTCTCTTTTTTATGCCTTTGATGAGGAACATCCACTAAAGTAGCAGTTTCTCTAAAGGGAACTAGTGGATGCCATTAGAAGTTTTACTTAGACATGCTGGACGAATGCAGTTTTGCACACCTTATGTACGCCTCTCTCACCTTGGGACAGAAATGGGTGCTGTGTTGGACTGCAGTCAGGAGCGCACATCTATTCACTATCTACTGAACAAAAAATTTGGGAGTTTAAATCTTCTCTGAGGTAATGGTGTGGAAATGATGTATGGGGAATTTAGTGACTAGAGAAAGTAATAAATATTCATTGAAAATAAGCTATGAGGATAAGGAAATGCCTTTTTGGCAAGTAAGATGCAATTTCAATATTTTATGGGGGATTATTTCAGTTACATGTTTTGAATTAATTAAAAAAAGACCTTAGTAGTGAACAAAACCAAACACTTGTGAATAAACATAGCTAGAAAATAAGATTTCTATTTTGTGGGAGTCTCTGATGGTTTGGAAGTTATTTTTCATCTGGATTGGAATGAAAGTTTTACATTTACAGTGATAAAGAATATCATATACATTATGGGAAATACATGTTCAGGATCCTGCTGACACTTGTTCAGAGATGTCACCTGAACATTTGTGACTATCTTTTTGTCTTTATTTTGATAGTTTTATTCTGGATAAAATTTCTCTGTGAATAAGCATGCCCGCTTGCAAAAGTAGCTTACTTACAAAAAATCCCCATAGCAGTCACATTTGTGAAACACTGATTTTTATCTCATTACATCTGCCTATTTCTGATGTAAATCATTCTTACTTTGGAACTCTTCAGTGAGAGAGGAGCTCATGTAAGTTTAAATCAGTGGTTGAGGTGTGTTGCAATCAATAATAACACTCACATGCTCCTAGCTGCTCACAGGGACTGGCATACCAATTTTTTAGGAAAATTGGAGCTGCTGTTAAAATGAGTCTGAAATCTGACCTGCCACTAAGGAGAAATAACTGATAACCAAATTCTCACATGGTCTCTAGGCAATGAAGCTTACTTTGAATAAAGTCCTCTTATCTGCTACAGTGTCAAGCTTTCCTCTTGTGTAGATCCAGAGCTGCTTTGATTTTTCCAATGGTGGCATCTTTGTTCTCTGATTGTGCTGTCATTGCCATGCCTAATGCCTTCATCCTTTGAAATTTCTGACACCGACTGGCTTTCCATCAGCCTTACTGTCATAACAGCAGTGACACAAGGAAATGGCTGCAAACTCAACTGTTTTCCACAGGAAACAATGGCTTGTCTCTCGGTGCTGACGCTGGTGTCCTGGGTTCAGCAGTATCAGTCACTTTTCTTCTTAGTAGCTGGTGCAGCGCTGTGTTTTTGACTTTCAGTCTGGGAACAGTGCTGATAACACTGATGTTTTTAGTTGCTGCTCAGTAATGTTTACTCTGACGAAGGACTTTCTGAGTCTCATGCTCTGCCAGGGAGGAGGGGAAGCTGGGAGGAAGCAGAGACAGGACACCTGACCCAAACTAGCCAAAGAGCCATTCCAGACCACAGCACATCATGGCCAGTGTATAAACTGGGGGGAGTTACCCAGAAGGGCTAGATCACTGCTCTGGTCAGGCTGGGTATTGGTCGGTGGGTGGATGGTGAGCAGTTGTATTCTCTCCCCTTGTTACTCCCCTTATCATTATTATTATTGGTAGTAGCAGTAGTGGTTTTGTGTTATACCTTAGTTTCTGGACTGTTCTTATCTCAGCCCATGGGAGTTACATTCTTTCGATTCTTTTCCCCATCCCTCCGGGAGCTGGGGTAGGAAAGAGGAGAGTGAACGAGTGACTATGTGGTTCTGAGTTACTGACTGGACTTAAACCATGACAGTCCTGCATGAGACTATGCCTTGTTAGTAATATTTAATTTTTCCACTGATGATTATGTTACTAGTCACTATAGGTGCAGAAAGCTCTCAATATTATTGTTAAACACAGGAAAGTGATTTTTTTGCTGCACCGTCTTCTCTCATTCCACATTTCCAAGTTGTTATTTTCAACTGGTTTAATTTTGCAACTTACCCTCGTACTTTATACAAATGGCATATACATTATCCTGACAAACAGTTAAAAACTAGAAGTTACAAAGATGGGAGATTTTCTTCAACTGTATTTGACTGCAACCTAATGCTGCTGCTGCTGGTCTGAAACAAGATTTGCCATTCCTCTAACTATAAAGACAGCACTGCTGAGACTGCAAGAGTAAGGAATACTCATCAAAGAACCAATTTTATTCACAAAGTAAAGAAATTACTGCCAAATCTATGGGGAATAAATAGTGAGATTATCTCAGCTATAAAAAAAAAACAAAAAACAAAAAACAACCCCCTCAAATCAAAGTCAATATAATAAACAGAGTTGACTCAGCGTTTTGATAGGTGCAAGACACATTGTTAAAAAATATATCTTGGAAAATATGGCTCTGAGCTTCCCTCTGAAACAGAAAAAAAAAATCATACCTACTATGTTTTTATATTTACAGTTTGAAGGATTCAGTGGCCTAAATTTGTATCTTTTCCTGTTTTATATATGCACCCTTAGAAAAGGGGAAAAGAATCAAGACAAAGAAATAATCCAAGATATTTGTTGGTTTGTGACTACTGGAGAGTCTTCTACTTTCACTTTTCAGCCTTCTTCCTTTGTGAATATTCTTCAAGAAAATGAATTTTTTAAAGTTATAAAACCTGGCCAATCATTTAAGGCCTAGACAACAGTAAATTCCAAGGTGCTCTGGTATTTTTGTATAATGCTCACTAGTTTGATGCTGGATGCCTGTACAGTAACAACTAACACAGCTGGGATCTTTAGAAATAAGATGAGGAAAAGAAACTTCTTCTCAGTGAGGGTGACGGAACACTAGAACAGGCTGCCCAGGGAGGTTGTGGAGTCTCCTTCCCTGGAGACATTCAAAACCCGCCTGGACACATTCCTGTGTAACATTATCTAGGTGTTCCTGCTCCGGCAGGGGGATTGGACTAGATGATCTTTCCAGGTCCCTTCCAATCTCTAGCATACTGTGATACTGTGATACTGTGAAAGTTAAGTGAAGCACTGAATAAAAGATAATTGGATTTATGCATGAGTGACTGGCTAGAGAAAGACAGAGAGTGCCTTTTGTTCATAGCCATGAACTAAGAGTTTTTTACTAACACACATATCTACTTTTGCAGAAAAAAAAATACGGAGATAGTTCAGCCCACCACATAATTATGAATACCTTAGCAGTGAGAAGAAGGGTATGTGCTAGAAAGACCTGCGTCTTTCTGCTTTTCGGCTTGGCAGCTGAATTCAGATCCCATTATGCACTGCAGAGGGTGATGCAATTGCTTAACATAAGATACCTCTCATTTATGGTTCAGGAGAAAAGGCTGAGAGCAATTTATGTGTAGCACATTGTGCATGACCGTAGGCAGAAACTGAGGTGATTGAAAAACCCATCAGTTGCCTAGAGGGTATGTGAGGATGACACTCGAATAGCCATGGAGATTCTCTACTTTCTTACATTGTATGTGGGTGCTGATCCTTATGCTCTAGTCTTGCCTCCTGTACTTAAATGTAATACCTGAGACTCCAGAAGCAAAGTTGGACTAAAAGGATAAGGGCAACAGCCCATTATTTGATTCTGAAGGGAAGTGAAATGGAACAGCTCCTTGATATTCAGGCTGACTATTTAGAACAGTCTTTGGTCTGTGCAGTCCTTTAAATGTGGGATGGGTCAGAGAATAATTCTGCATCATTAGCCACCAGGCAGTTTTGTCTCTGATATCCTCTTTGATCTCAATGGACTGCCATATGTATTTAATATCCCTGCAAAGGATCATGCTGTGAAAGACAAAAAATCCACACCAACATCAAATCGGTGTCCCAGGCAATACTGATAGTCATAACAGAAAGAATACTAAAATGGTAGGAAAAAAAAAAAAAGTAATTATACAAAAACTCTTCAGGTTCACAAGAGTTTGAATATTGTGCCCTGAGAAAACTGAGTGATGGTGGCTACCTCTACCTTGCTTTTTCCAAGTTGGTAGAATGGGGCCTCAGATTAAGCAGCTGCATGCAACTTGTGACTGAGGTCACAAGAATGGAAGAAAAGTCACACCACTGTGCCACAGCTCCAGCCTTTCAGGATGAGGTCCCTTCATACTTGGGGTCTAGGGTGACTAGTCTAAATCTACCTCTGTCCTATATGACAAGAAGAAGTAAGGGAGGTAAGCAATTGGAAGAGTAGGGGCAAACCTTTAGGCAATCTTTCATTGCTGTTATCTGCTAAAGACATCCATCCTTAATGCTACATTAATACTAATGAGGTTTTTATGAAAATAGCCCAGAAGGAATCTAGAGTGCTTGAAGGCATCCTTTTATGACTCAGATGTTCCCATCAAAACTGCTGTTGCATTTGTCAACTATGATGAATGAGGTTATTGACTGAAGACATCTCTGTCCTAGTCATATCCACAGAAAATGGACACCTGAGTGGTAAGCATAAAAGCCTGTGACATTAGCCTTCACAGCTTTTTCAGAAAGATTATATTTGTGCATACAGATTTTAATATATGTATTTATATAGAGAAATACATGCACACATATGTGTGTATATATATCCCTCAAAAAAGTTTGGTTTGCTTCAAGTTGTAGATGAAAGTTGGAGTTGATTTTTATTTAATGAGTTGATTCATCCAAATGGGTAGTACAGTGCTTTTCTTTGCATTCTGGCTGCAGAAAATGCCACATGCCTGTTACTTAACATAACATTGGGCTAGTCAGGGAGGACACCCATTAGAGAAAAACACAGAGATCACAGAGCTGAGTTTAGAAGTCTGGCTTCCTTTGCAGTCCTCCTTTCATCTCATCTCCTTATGTTTGTGTTTTTTCTCCATCCTGTTTCTGCAAGGAACAATGATGAAAGAACATTCTGTGTAATCTTTGGCAATCACTTTTTTTTTTTCTCCCCAGGTAATTTTCTCATGTACCAAATGAAAAACTCAACACTTTAAGTAGATGGTGGGTAAGATTTCCCAATTACCAGTGAACATTTTGGTATACACATAATTACCCAAGAAAGACAGATATTTCATTATATATATGGTAAGAGTACCTGACTCCCTTGGGTAATCATGTGTATAGATGCTCTCAGATGCCTTTTATGCGTCTCAGATGCTTTTTGTAAGAAAGAAAAAGGAGCTTTCATAAAAATTAATTTGTCCCAAATGTGTTGCTAGACTTGAAGGGGCCAGTTGTTAGAGTTTAGATCTAAGAAATTCTGCCAAGTTTGAATGATGAATATTTAGGGAACTGAAACCTACAGATACAGCAGTAACCTATCAGTTACCATCTATTTCTAATTGTTTGGTTTGGATTTGATTTCTTCCAATAAATGTGGTAATAAGATTTAAGGATTGAAGACCACACATGCAATTGAAAAAGCCATAAAGGGAGTCTTTTAAAGAGAGGCAATAAAGAAGTGACATCAAGTATTCACAGAAGAAATACAGAAAATTCTCATGAAGTATAAACTTGACTCGTAACATAAAACTTTTGTGCTTTGGATTATGTGTTTTCTGGGATATGGCATGTGAATATTCACAAGCTATTTTACATTTTTTTTTCATTTTGACAGTAAGGTGTTATCAAATATTACAGATTGAAGATACCTCTGCTATCAGATGATAGGTAAAAATTTTCTGAAAAGCCAAAGTTTTGAGACAATAATTTCAAAAGAAAATTTCTAAGACAGTGAAGACAAATGGTAATTCTCTCAGTTGTATTCTGTAAGGAGTCAACAAAATAATCTAATCTAGACTCCCGCAAGATACAAGCCATAGGATCTCTTGGAACAAGTCACTTCTCATCTTGGCTACAGACCCCTTTTCATCCTATACAGTGCATAGAACATGTGGGCTTTGATGTGGTGACTATAATATTGAATTAAGCTTACAGTGGATGTGATATTTTGATTATCAACCACTTGTGTTTTAGTAGCTTTCATTGGAAATTAAGCTGCTTAGGCTTCATCTCAATTTCAAACTTGATAGTTTTTCTGTAAAGTGAAAGTGGTATATCTATAGGTTTTTGCCTTCTTTTTTTTTTTTCCCTAAGAAAACATGGAGGTTAAGGTATTTCATAGTGATTTTTTAGAGCTACAGTAGCTGAAAAAGTTTTGAAATTTTAATTTTAATGTCTGCTCCCCAGTGAAAAACTGAATTCCTCTACCATTAAGAAGATGGAACTGATCATTGCACATGATGATTTCCTTTTCTTCCTTGGATGCAACTCTTGCTTTTCTGGACAGAACACTGAGCATTCCTTTTTTACATGTTTGTTTGTTTCTTTGAGACACAAGGTTTACATACGGATTTTCATACTTTCAGAATATATACCTTTGTAAATTCTTAGATAAAGAACACCAAGTACACCAAAGGTATAATAAATGAAGTTGCAGCGACCTTCACTTTGCAAGCTGCTTAATTGTTAAAAGAAAGTGAGATTTGTGGAAAAAACAGACACCTAAAGTACATTTATGCATTTTCCACACACTACCTGTATTGTATTACACAAACGCTTTTTTCAAGACCAGTAAAAAATTACCAAGAACCCATAGGAAAAAGTCAAGTATTGGTACTGTATGCTAGCAGTTCAAAATTGTTGATGAAAAGGGGAAATCTAAGGCATATAATATGGCAAATTGAGCATCATTGTGAATGAAGTAATTATTTGTCAGTTATTCATGGTTTCTGCTTTAATATCAGACTATTTTCCTCATCATTGTAGTATATGGATTTTGCAGCTGGTAAAACAATGTATTTGTTATATATCTGCTGTAAATTTTATTTTTCTTAAGCATTAACTTCTGCTGGGAAAAATGCCTACTCTGAAACATCAGTCTCATACCAAATAGAAATGAATAAATTCAAGATAATGGTACTCCCAGTTGTGGGACTCTTTATAATGGCTTACATGAATATTTCAATCATCTAAAATATCACACTGAAAACAGCATGTTAGATCAATGTCCTTTGGAAGGCTGCAGCAAGCCCTTTGTGTAAAGTCGTAGTTTTGTACACATTTCAAGATACCTGTGCCGTAGGAATGTGTCTTTTGAGATAATGTTTGCCAAGTTCCTATGAGTATAGATTTTGTTAGTTGAAAGCAGCAATAATTGTACAGAAGCTTAATAGAACTATGTAGTGGCAAAGGAACCTATAGAAAAAGAAAAAAATAACTCCACAGTGCATGCTTAACTGTTTCTCATGATTCTAATGTTAACATTATCACTTTCTTTAATGTCAGTTAGATATTTATATGTGGCTCAAACGACATATAGGAAGAGTTATTTCCCTGTTGCCAGGACTGAAGAAAGTCATGAGGTACTTTAGAACGGTCTTGTACTTAAAAGCAGGAGATCCATCATAAGAAAATCATACGTTAAACTGCTAGCAACAAATAGATTGAGACAGAGACAGATTCAAGGGAAAAAAGGTCATTGCCAGTGTCGCTGGGATTGCAACATAGCTACTGTCCCTTTTTCCATATCTCTTTACAAGCTCTCAAAATCAATGTAGTTTTCCTACTACCAGTGCACATGTATTTCAAGAGAAAAGGAAAATGTAAAGATGGATGATGTGAAACAGTTTACTCACCGTTATTCAAGTCAACAAGAATAAAATGGTAAGTGCAAATGTTCATTCATGTTGCAGAATAACACATTTACTCATTTACTTTTCTACTGCACCTTTAAATTTCAGAGCTTCCCCTCCAAGTAGAGTTCTCAGGCTATTTTGATTGGGAAAAAATTCTATCACCTCTATAGAAAAGGCACTCAGTGCATTGTCACACTGAAGTTTTCTTTTTATTTTATTTTTTTTGTTTTTCCTCCTCGTTTCCCTTAATCTAAACTAATCCAGTGCTGTGTGCTTTACTTGATGGATGGGGGAATGAAACAATTTATTTCACAAAATAAGATAATATTGAAGTGGGTTTCAGTTTCAAATTCCCACAGCAAAAACGTAATAAACAGAAGACATCAAACCAGCTTGATGTTCATTGGCAAGGGAGAGTAAAAAGCCAGTTCTGTTTTCTCATATATAGAGGCTTTTTCCCAGAAAAACCAAATGCAGTATTTCCTGACACCCTGTTTGAAGACTTTCTTTCCAAGTACAAAGCAAAGCTAACACAGAGTTCTCGTCTAATTACATTTCCCTAGGAAGGGTAGGTGCATATATTGTAAAATTATTTAGAATATCCCACTTCATCAATTATATCTCATCAAGAGATACCCTCTGAGGAATATCTGCATAGGTCTATATTGTGAGATAAGTCTGGGTGTTGCTTTGGACCTATAATCACAATCGCTGCCTGGACTATTGTGTTATTGACTTGGGTTACTGTCGTGGTTTAAACCCAGTCAGGTAACTTGTTCACTCACTCCCAGTGAGTGGTGCCGAGCTGACAACAATCGAGGTCCATGTCCCGTCCCCCCCACCGGGGTTCTCCCCTTCCCCACTCCCGGAGGAACGGGGAGGAGGATTGAAAAAGTGCAACTCCCACCGGTTGAGACAAGAACAGTCCAGCAACCAATGTACACAAATCACCACCGCTACTATCAACTACAACAATGATAAGGGAAAATAACAAGGGAAGAGAATACGATACCACCGGCCAAGAAAACGAGTTCCACCCGGAAGCCCGTGTCCTTCCGCGTAACTCCCAGTTACCCCCCACCCCGGGCATGACGTGCTGTGGTATGGAATACCCCCCTGGCTAGCCTGGGTCAGGCGCCCCTGTCTCTGCTTCCTCACAGCTTCCCCTCCTCCCTGGCAGAGCATGAGCCTCACAAAGTCCTTGGTCAGGGTAAACATCTCTTAGCAACAACTGAAAACATTGACTTCACCAACACTGTTCTCAGGCTGGAAGTCAAAACACAGCACTGCACCAGCTAACACAAAGGAAAAAAAACCATGACTGCTACTGCTGAACCCAGGACAGTTACCTTTTCCAAGATCTGAATCATAAAACTGAAGGCTGCTGAGCATCTGAATTCTGTCTTTTAATATGTAAATAGTAGACTTGGAGTTCTTACATTTAACAGAAGTTCAGGTTTAACCTGCAATAGGTTTCAGAGTTGCTGCCAACAGCTCATTTGTAAGCCCAGTCTATTAAAAAAAAAAGGTTTTTAATTAAAGAAGCTTATTAAAGTTTATTTCTGCCTCTCTAATTATTACATAAATCTTCAACACATGACTTTAGTCTATGTGTTAATATACTATACATTCTCTTGTCAGGCACAGTTATACCCTTGCTAAAATACAACGAGAGAACTATATACACCATTCTAAGTAATGTTCAATTTATAGCTTACATGGATACAATATCAACTACTTTGATTTATACTGTATGCCCTCTAGCTATACAATCCAATGTTCTCCTTGCCTTTTTTTATTGCAGCAACAATTCTCAGTGCATTAAGGTTGCTCAGATTTTCCTACACTAACTGCCTGATCTTTCCAGCAAGTTCAAAACTTAAAGGTATTGTGTGATGGCTATTCTGTCCTCTCCTGTCGTCTATTACATTAATGTTCCTCAAAGTCATTCCTGGAAAAGCAGTAATCTGTGACCCATTTTTCCTTAGGCTAAATTGGATGTTCTCAAGTATGCCAATATATTTAATCCTTTAAAATGGGATCTATGGGAAATCACTGCCTGCAAATTTTAAAAGCACAATCAGTACATTAAACTGTGTGCATTTTTCTTCTGCCTTTTCTTCTCCATGTGCTACCTACACTTTTCTCCAGATGGCATTCATAAGTTCACATACAATATCTTCTCTGATGTTTTCAGAACATGAAGTCTTTTAGCACTGTTTTCTCTCCCGAGTAGCTTGTTTATATCCTTGGTAAACAAAGAGCATCTTTTACCTGATTTCATACAAAGGACAAATGTCCAGTCACACTGTGTGTTAGTCTGCTGGTCTGTCTGTTCTCTTGTCTTTCACCCACTGGACAACTTCCTCAACTGAACAAGAGATGTAAGAAAAACCCCAAGATTATCTTACTGCAAGTTTTGTGAAATTAGGAGACTGCTTACAGGCGATAGATATGTCAGTATTCCCTCAGAAAGAGAGAATATTTTGAAGTTGCAAGGGATTTTATGGAAGTTTGACAGGAACAAAATATCATGACACATTCAAAAACTGGCTAACGTATTCTGATCTTCAGAAATATGCAAGTCTCATACACATTTATCCCAAGTATATAAACAGATGTATTTTTATACTTTCTGTAGAAGTTATTGAGTGCTTCCTTGAGAATATTTTTTTTTCTCTTTTCATTCTCCTAAGGTGTAACTAGAAGGTGAGTAAAAGGGAATGGCTTTAAGCTGACAGAGGGGAGATTTAGGTAAAGTACTAGGAAAAGATTCTTTATATAAGGGTGGTGAGACAGTGGAACAGGTTGCCCAGAGAAGCTATGCAAACCTGTCCCTCGAAGTGTTAAAGGCCAGACTGGATGGGGCTTTGATCAACCTGGTCTAGTGGAAGGGGTCCCTGCCCGTGGCAGTAGATGACCTTTAAGGTCCTTTGCAACCCAAACTATTCCATGATGATTCTATGAAACAGCAGTATTGCTTTTCAAGCAATCTGTATCATTCCATTCTGTAACATTCCATCTGGCAGCTGCCCAGTAGGGATACCTCAAACAGATATAACTGTAGGCTTGAAGCCAACCTAGGACATCTTAAACATCCAATCTATATAATTCCTTACAATAATTTAATAACATATGTGGGGTTTTTTACCTGAGAAAATATTCCATTCTGGGCAAGGAAAAAAAACCAAAACAAATACCTTTTTCAAAAGTAGAATATGTTCTTCCAAGGAATGTTTTTACCATTGTTAGGTCTGCTTTTATTTTAAACTAGCAGGTTTTTTGGAGAAAAGAGAAAATAGGAGTTGACATTCACAAGCGATTTTTCTGCCTTCCTAAAAACCAATGTAATGCCATTGCTCGTGCAGTTTGTGTTGAAGTAAGATTTTATACTTGTGCCAAAATAAATGGTTATATCCGTTGAAAACACAGATTATAGAATGAGTGGTGGAACAGCTTTTCCTGTCTTTAAATTAAGGCAAAATCTAATTTCTACAGATATGTAGCGTGTGCCAACATGGTTTAAACAAGCTCAGCTGTATACACACAGCAATCCAATGCAGCTATGGGGACAATGCCTTATTGACAGCTAAAAACTGACCATGGAAAGAACAGATGAAGCATAGATAGATCAATATTGAAATAAATAGTAAAAGGTCATCATTTTCCTTTACCACTACCTAGAATCAGTGCAAAAATGTCTTGAAAGAGAACAGCCAAATGCAATCTCTCTCCTTTCTATTTTTCAGATATTGATTTCAGTCAAAAAGAAGGCAAAGGGAGAAGAAGAATCTATTTTTCTATAAGACATCAAAAGCTGCCTGCAAGTAAATATTGACACTTAACAGATGTGTCAGTTTATTGTAAAACAGTTTTCCTTTTTAATCACTGTAATTCTATAAATCTTCATCTGACACATTGGCTTGAGCTTTTCAGACCAGATGTTCTGCATTTCAGTGAAAGAAACAGAACAAATCAGAAGCAAACCCAGATCTTAACAAAGACGCTGTACAAATCCCATTATTTTTAAAATGAGATATCACCCTGTTATACTGTGTAACTTAACAGGTAACAATGATCATTACCCTTGAGCTGTACTAACACACAGACCCTCCTTTCCACCTTGATCACTGTTGTTTTTTAATTGAATCTGAATATTTTATAAGCAAGAGATAGTACAAGCATAGCTAG